AGTTATTTTATGAACGAAATATATTTCAAAAAAATATCAGTAATTCGAGTTCGACACATTTCAGTCAATTCTTGACTGAATGAATTGCATTGAAAGGGATCACAGACAGCATTAATGTTCCTTTGCACGAACATAATAATAATAACTAATAAAAAAATCATCTATGTTAATAGTTTGTTTGTTGTTTTTTGCTGGTTTATTTACATTGAATAGGCTCCTTAACCGCTGGATTGATTTTAGAAATGCGTTCACCACTGGAAAGCTATATCATACGGCTGTGACTTACACTCGGACTCTCAATTGAGAATTTAAAGTAAAGCACGTCTCAAACTGTACTTAAATGTTACTGAAACAAGTATTCGTTTCTGCTTTTATTTTATTTTTATATTCTGTTGCTAGTAGTTTCAATAAACTAGGACTTTTTGCTTTCTGAAACGTAAAAAATCTTATGTCGAGATTTTGTACTTTTCTCAATTCAGAAACCGGTCGTTAGACTATAATTTACGCGACCGAAGCCGCGAGAAAACAGTTAGTAAATAAAATTAAAAACATATTTCGTATATGCGATATAGAAAATTAATAATGGACTATGACTTAATTTTCCAAAATCTACTTTCTTTTATTTCATCAGAAAGGAAATCGGAATGCATAGACAATTTGACTGTACACTATTGATAATTTTATCTATTAAATAATTCCTCATTTACACCGATGCACTTTTTGTCTGTCATAACTTTTGTCAACGCACCATTTCACAAAACGTTATTGAATTATTAACCAGATTTCTTTCTTGAATTACGTTTATTGACAAACACTGCATGGAATACCGTTCGGTAATTTATGAACGTATCGCGTTGAGATGGACAAGCGAGGCGTATTTTCTTACAAATCAATTATGATAAGGATACACCAATAACCGAATAATTCAAGTAAAAAAAGCAATTTCCTCATAAGTAACTTCATGCGTATTACTTTGATAATAATTTTTACTAGTTAAAAACTAATGCAATAAGGAAATCACGACTTAGGAGGTTTCCTAACTTTGACGACTCTTTACGGTATTCAGTGATGCATTCATATTTAATATACAAATAAGTGTGTAATATATAAATAAATAATCACAATTAGGTATTCCACATGTCAGTTATTATAACTTCGTCATAGGTACCGGTTTTATTGTTGCTCAGAAATTCATATTCAAGATTGTTTAATGTGAATTTAATTCTTCGCGTTCATCATCACTTTATAATAGAAGTTGCATAATATGTGATGGTAACATAAATCTAAATAGGAGTTCTAAGTATATCAAATTTAAAGTAAAAAAAAATAAATTCAATAACTCAAACCCGACACCGCTAAATCACACTCTAAAAAGTTTGAAACAAAAAATTTATTTTAAAGCAATTTTATTTTGTTTTAATTCGTTTTATTAAACGGATTTTATTTTAATTCTATCACCTACAGGAAGCTACATCATGGGTTGACATAGGCTATAATTTACGCCAGACAAGTTGCAATAACACAGCAGGTCATCTTATAAAACCCTATATACAACAATCACATAACAAAACCGATTAATAGACAATTACATTTGATTTACTACTTCGCATTAATAATCGCAAGGGAATTCATGCATTAGGCTAGATCAGATCACATTATTTATATTTTAACTGATAAGGTGGTGGGAGCGTGCCAAGAACCATTACGTCTACGAGTACATTATATACATATATAACTACACCCCAAAATGATGAATATTATTCTATTACTATAACCGAATAGGAAAATATAAAACTGATCGATTGATATGAAAAACTAAGAGTATTGAAATAAAACGCGAGTGACATTATTGTTTGAGGTCGTTTAATAGTTTGACTTGTGTAGTAAAAATTACTGATTTACGTGATGGCGCAGATAAGCCATTAATAAAAGAAGAATATCATTTTAATTTGCCATTGTGTTTTATATACGTGTGTCAATTCGTCGTTAATGTTTTAACATTACGTTACTACGAAAATATGTTAAGCTATTCCTATGTCAGTAGCCTATTTTTTAGAGATAATACTAAAAATATTAGATTTATATTAACTGTTTATTTTTATATCGTAGTACTAAGTAATTTTTAAGTTAAACATTAAAGTAACCAGGCAAGTACCACATGAAATTCGATCGGAAAGAACACAAAAACTCACGCCGAAAACATACAATAATACTTACCTGCCCTGCGATTCTGTAAAACTCCAAACCCGAATTCGAATTCTCTCAGGTGTCCGAATTGACTTCAAAAAGAGGCATACCACCACCAGCCCTTTTACGTCCCCACTGCAGGGGCTCAGGCCTTCCTTATGGATGGTTAAGGAGGATGGGCCATGACCCTCCACGCTGGCCCAATGCGGATTGGAGGGTATTGACGACTACAAATGCAGCCGGGACCAACGGCTTAACGTGCCTTCCGAAGCACGGAGTAGCTCGAGATAATAATTTTTTGGTCACCCATCCCGTGACCGACCCTTGCGAAAGTTGCTTAACGACTACGATCGCGGGCCGCGGCGCTTATCCACTACGCCACCGAGCTACTCTGACAGGGCTGACCTGATTTCGATCCTATGTCCCCTTAGATTCTCGAAAATAGTTTCAGCGTGTTTATTGTTCATTACAATCACCGGCGATTCAAGATCTTTTGTGATTTCATTAGGTCACAAACTTGACACTGCCAGTAAAAATGCGCATGGAAATAAGTAACGTACAAAATAAAACGGTTTATGACGTTATGTTTCATTTAAAATGCCATGGTATTGCGAACAAGCGCAAATAACGCAATAAGTAATCATAATTGGAAATATGCCATTTATAAAATAAGCATGCAATATATCCTATATTTTAAATAATGTACATAATACATGACATCCTAATCTGATAATTTAACAAAATATATAAATAGAAAGACCTGGACCCACACTATTACCAATTGACTTGATCAACCCATGCGATCGATAGTTTTCTCATTGTCAATAATAAATAAATGAATATAAGATGACATTACATAAATTGCTCAGATTCCAAGATGAGTGGCTAAAGCTGAGGAGTAAAGATGAGAAGTATCTCAGACAACGTAAATACCGCAACATCCTGACCCGAGACAATATCGACTAGTCAATTTTCTTTATTGACCCGATCGGGAATAGAATCCGGGACCTCAGAGACGGCGACGCTTTGAAACAGGCGCGCGATCCACTCGGGTATGGAGGTCGTCAATTTTTCAATTACATCTTATTGATGTTATTTCTTTGTACAATTGAAAATTAACGAATTGTGGTTTACGCGTCATATTAAATAGATTAATTACGATACAAACTTGATGCCACGTGAGAGCTTTTAACTTTCTCGATTGCGTTTGAGTAAACGTGAATTTGTATTATATTTATGCGTAGTCTAATTAAGTTATTAGCGTCTATGACTTTAAATTATATTTTCAGTGTAAAAATTATATTTATACTTTCCGAGACTGGTCTTTAAAATATAAGTTAATGATTAATGAATAAATGATTCTTCAAAAATTATTAACTCGCACTCTTGCCATTTGTATTTGTTATAGGTACTATTATTAATTTGTATTATTTTGTTTACTAGGTAGTTAAAGTGTTTTATATTATGTTGTAAAACGGTGTCACAGCTGTATCTTTCTCTAAATAAAAAATATATAATTTGTATTTGAACACATGTACTTTAACGTTACTAAATTATTTATTAATTTATAGAGTTAATATGTAAGACTTCAGTCAGACTTCAGACGTCAGTTGCACAAACGTCTATTAAGTTTTAATGACGCCTTTAAGCTCTAACGAATGTCAGATTGGTATGGGTATTGTCGCTTTAAATTAATTAAATTTTTAATGGTCGTCTGTGCAACTAGTTTTTAAAGAATTAAAAATTTGGTCTGAGTCGTGCTAAAGTTATCTTTGGTAAATGCTAACGAATTGTCACCAATGTTTGTGTAACAGTCTAGCAATACTATCAATTTAAAAATTGGAGCAATAGATATTATTCTAATTTTCCTAATTAGAAGATGCTCTGTGAAAAATTCAAATTTCGACAAAATTTAAGTTCGAAAGGAAAGGTTAAATATTTACGTGAATCAAAAATTTTAAAAGCCGTTTTTCGTACAAAGGAGTATGAAATTTGGCACAAATTGTATTAAGTTTATATGGCATATGATGCGTTACTATACACTACCATTCATTTGACATTGTTTACTTAATATCAAACTCATTCAAGAAAGTCAATATATTATTCAAAATTTTATGGTCATATTTAAACCGATAGACAACCACTAGAAATCAATTAATCGATGTAAAGAGAAACTAAGACTGAGATCGATACTTCCGGGTAACAAAAACGTACATACATCACACACATTACAAGGTAAAATGCGTTTGTTGATGCATCTTGGGAATCTGTTGCACTTAAGCTCGTTTACAAAGAAGGAAATATTCGTGTTATGAAATAAAGTAGGAAACTGCTCATTTGTAACCACCTGTTAGTGATATTAGAAAACACACGATACTAAGCAACATCGAAGCAATCTTACGTCCAAATGTGTACTAAACAAAACGAACTGTCACTAACGCAGTGAAAAATATTACACACATAAGTCTTTGAAGTTTTATCGTTTGCTTAGAGATAAAACAACTGTTCTTGGTTTGTTGTACGTGAGTTTTCTCGTATCAGTGACAGCGTAAAGCCGATAGTGGCTTGTATCCAATGTGTCCCGGCGCTCTATTGTTTTCTTAAATAATCAGTGGAAATTGCATTCCACTTGTTTAGTGCAATGACCGAGTAACACGCTTATTCCAAGGACGCGACGTTTGAATTTCCGCTTAACACATTTAGCAGAGTATTCGTTTAGATAATAAATATACTTGGTGTTAGTTTACAACAAAATAAAACTTGATATCTAATAACATTGAAATGTTGATTTGAATTTGTTTTCATTGTTTCAGTGGGGACGCAGAATACATATCTACAAACTTCAACATGAGGAATAACGTCAAGTATGTACCTAAATGTTCTTAAAATATATTCGATATATATTTCGATACTATAATAAATATTTAAAGCCATAACTAACACTAACGACTAAGATGAAAATGTTTAAATTTTTTATGTTATTCTACATATCGCACATCTGGATCTAAACTGAGAGAACTCAAAAATTTGAGCGAGTTTTGACTTTGTACAATATTCAAATACTCGGTGATCATACGCATCTATCCAACATAACAGATTCAATAAAGGTTCGGGGATGAGCCGCTAGATAACTTTTTGTGATTAGCTCTTTTTTTGTTGAATCAACAGTGTTCGCGCTCCTGCCACATAAACAAATGTATTGTCAGACCATCAAATTAGTTTTTTGAGTTGTCTTAGTTTAGATCTAGGTGTGCGATATATTAATGTGTATAAAATAACTATATTTATTTCATCAGTGGATGGTTCATGGCTAAGGTTGCCACCTTTTTTTCCCTAATTAAAGTTCATTAGTTATTATAGGTACAAAAACTATAAATAAATAAAGTATTATTAAAGTAAGTAAGGTAAATAAAGTATTATTTATTTTTCTTTATTACTAAACTTAAAAATACATTTTCTTTTTATTTATCTATTCAGCATGAATCGATAAATTTTGTTTAACGAAAAAATACTTACGACTAAGCTTCAAAATCACAAACAAATCAAATCATACGACATAAACTATTTTCGTGTACTTTATTTTTCTTATAGAGTATAGAGTACAATTGTCTGAAATAATGTACAATACTTTATTATAAAGTACGGGTGGTAACCCTATTCATGGCATATATCTAGATTGTCAATGATAGAGCCTAATTCTACCTGAATTATGTAATAAGCTTGTAACAAAGCGGTATTTTTACATTATTTCGACTTTAAGGTCAATACAAAAAAAAAACAAACAATGACGATGTAAATTATTTGTCTGCGACACTAGAGTCGTTTGTGAATATTTTTGAATGTCATTTTTTTTTATTTTGTGCTTAATTCAGGGGTATTTTATTAACCCAGTAAATACTTCATTAAACGTGATTTAGTTATGTGTTTTGAACTATATATAATACTATATATATTGAAAGTGTGCCATTTGGATTTTTGGTTTATCAGTGTTGTACTAACACAGAGATATTCTTGTATGCCACACGAAAAAGATACCACTTCTAATTTATTAATTTATTTAAATATAACCAATATTCATGTTGATTAGATTTAAATAATCGTTGAAAATTCAACGATTCTTTAATTAAATATTTAATGTGATCGGTTGGTTTATTTGATTTAGATAATTCTCGACCAGGTTAAGTAAGAAATAAGATGTAAAGATTTGAGTTGCTGCTGCAGTTTCAATTGTAATACTCTAAATGTTTAGAATCTAAATGGAAGTAGTTGTTTTATCTCTACCGCTCTGTAAGTTTCTGTAAACTGGAAACTAATTGGCGTGGAAGGTGAAGTGAGTGTGTATGTCCGATAGTTTTATCACTGGGCCATGATGCGAGTGGAAGATCGTTTTACACGATTTACTTGACGCAGAATAATACCGTACTGATGAATTAAACTAATTTCCCAATAAATTCCGACTTCTAAGCAAATATTGTTGAGCGTGTTTAATCTTTAACACGCTCACGAAAACAAGTTCTCGTTTGCTACGTAAAATCCCAGAATTGTTACTTTTATTGAAAAAAAGATCTAGATCATTGGACTTAATATTAAGTAGTTAACTATTCGATGGTTGTTACAGTTGTCTGGAAATATTCTTCTTCCTAGTTCAACCTACATATACTCATAACAGAGTAATATCTCCTTCAAGTATTAAACAGCTATTGGTTTCTAACTACCCATTTCCGTTACTTTAATTATGTTATTATATCATCTCGCACACGATCCTGTGTCAGTTCTTGGTCGTGACGCCTAAGTCTGTTCTACGACTCATATGATTTTCGGCTTCTTCCTTATTACAAACTATGTAAACTAAATCAAGGAGTTTTGTCATTCTGCGTATGTTCTGATCACGTATAAATCAAACAAAGAAATCTCTCAGTCCTACACAGGTTGCGGGATAGGGATAGAAGAGGTATTTAGATACTTTATGTTTACTAACAGTTATGTCCACGCTGTAATGCAAAAGTTTTTCGACTCCCTGCGAATATACGTACACTTAAGTCGCATATAACTACCGCACGAAACCAGTGCCGACGCTGCACTTAATGCTTTATTTTAAATTAAATAGCACGAGAGAACCTGTACTCTTATATTGTGGACTGTTTCGTGATCCGTACGTGTAGTAAATTATATCAACTAACTTACTCATCCTTAATGTCATATAGTGGGACAGAGCACAATGAAGTTGACGAAATATCGAAAATTTAATGTAGGATAAACATATGTTATTAATTATCTTATCAAGTTCTTCGTAAATTATCTTATGCAGCGTGCTTCATTAGAGTAAATTTTTCTCATACATAAATATTATGTTGACGTTTGTACGTGATAACGTTTGTAGTATCGTATGAAGTCACGCACTATTGTAGATTCTAACAATAATATGACATATTATCACGTTTAAATATTATTTAAAATAAAATGCCACGTATGTTCTACACAAGTAGTTCTCGAAAAGGTCACTACAGCCTTATTATAATTGCAAAACATTCCCGAAATCTTTGTCTGTAAGTATCACGTATCAATAACTTAAATTTTAACGTTTCCTCTTTATTAATTTTTCACAATACAATACCGGTATCCTTTGTTAACAAACCTCCAAACCAAAAAGCTACATTCAAAGTGATTCTTCGAATTGGGTACAATCTATTAATCTCAAACATATTATTAGTATTAAGTTTTTACATAATTAAAATGAAAAAAACTATTAGATCATAATTATCAAAAGTTCAGTCCACGCATCTGAACTTTTATGATTATACAATACACATATATTTAAAACACCACTTTAGCACGTCCGATTACAGACGTTAACCTATGTATTATTAACACTTTTTATTGAAGGTATTAACAATACGTTCGGCTTGCGTCATTGTTTTCTTAACCGACCGATGCTTTCAGAGGCCTGCCTTATAATATTTTGTAAATGTTCCCCTTCGATGTAAAGAAAACACCCTATGGTTACAATCATAACATCATAATGTTTTCGCTTGTTGAGTCTATCAATAATTGTTAGGTTTTTGTATATGAGAAAGGTTTTTGTGTTAAGTTTATATCGTCTTAAACATGAGGCTTTATGATGTTTAGACTGCGTGTCAAATATTATTATTATTATCAAACTATGATTGTCCCCACTGCTGAGGGAAATGTCTTCTGTATGTATGGAATCAAATACGGGCCCTAATCTAATACTGGCTCAATTCGGGTGTTGGTGAGTGTTAAAGACAGCTTGCAGCCGAGATCAACGTGACATTCGAAGCACGGAAAAGTTCAAAATAATAACTTTTTGGTCACCCATCCTATGAGCCATTTCTGAAAAAACTGATAACTGGTGATGAAAAGTGTATCCCATACGACAAGAACGTGCAAAATAAGTCGTGTTAAAAGGTTGATCAGACTATGGCGAAACCCGGGTTAACTCGCAACATGGTGATGCTGTTTGATTTGGAAAGATATTATTCATAATGATACCACCAGACAGGACCATCGATTCCGAACTCTACTGTAAACAATTGATGAGATTAAAGCAAGAAGTTGTGAGGAAGCGGCCAGAATAACCTATAGAAGGGTGTGGTTTTTCATCATGATAACACTAGACCACAGACATCTTTTACCTCAGCAAAAATTAAGAGAGTTTGACTGGGAGGTGTTAATGCATCTGCCGTATAGTCCTGACCTTGCACCTTCAGATTTCCACCTGTTTCAGTCTCTTCAGATTTCTTTTGGCAGTCAGGTTAGCATCATGCGACGACCTCCAAAACCTAATTTGCCAACCATTTAACTAAAATTTCTAAAATTTCTATTGCAATGAGATCATAACTTATCTTGAAAGATGATAAAAAATTATCGAACAAAATGATACCATACTTTAGTTAAAAGTAAATATATACATTTTGTTTTTATATTAAATGCGCGGAAACTTTTTCCTCAACCTATTATTATTGGTATTAGTTTATTAAACTCTACTTGTATTTAGAATTGGAGAAGAACTCAATAGTGATTTGATAGATGATAATGGAACTTGTTATGGTAAATGCTAGTAATATCATGGCCTTGTTACTACATCGTGTAGTATTCTTGTATAATGAACAGCATATTATAGATGTACAATATTGGTTCGCAAATCAGAACTACCATCTATGGTTTAGCTTATTTGCACGAACCATACGTGATTGTCAAAAAGCATCTTTATTTTCAAAAGAACTATGAATCAAAATGGAATAAGTTTAAAATGTAATATTTGATAAATTGTTGATAATAAAACTTATTAGATATCTAAACATTTTGCGTCGCAACGCTGGTCTTGAAGATTTTCCTCATACCCAAAGAAACGAAAATAATCATTTGAAATTATTTGATGTAAGGAGTAATATTAGCTAGATCAGTGGTTCGTAACCAGTATTCGTCAGGCCACTGGTGGACCCTGGAAGCATTCGGAGTGGTCCTAGAAGGTCACATAAAGTTATTAATTACTTAAAAATATAATCGATTATAACTATATAACAATTTTATGCAAATTTTATTTATAAATATATAAAAGCTTCATGTATCCATAAATAAAATATACATAAAGTTATTATATAGCTATAATCGATTATTTTTTTATTACATATAGCAATTTTTTATTTATCTGCCAAGGCAAGATGGTTCTGATAGATACAGGGTTAAGAACGCACGCGAGATGCACGCTATAGTTAGCGTATTAACCGACTATTGCCGGGATAAATCTCAAGTTCCTGCTTACTGACTATATCTACATCCATCAATCCACTGTCTAGCTTATGACCAGTTCTCACTTTTTAATGATGAAAGGAAATGCATTACT